ACCTTAGCAGTAAAAAGCTCTGTCTTGGCCCTGATGAGCTATGCTACAAATTAATTTCTGTCTCCTCCCTTTCTCTGTTATGCTGGCAAAGGCCCAGGCAAAATCTTGGCCCTTGCATGAGGAGGGACACACACCATCTGCTTGTTGAAAACTTGGTTTCCATTTGCTAAGCTCAAAGTTCACCGTGGAAAGAGTAAGGAAATAGTTCAAGACACAGGGAGGAGCCAAGTCAATATGGCTGGGGATGATAGGCATTTTATTCTAATGCATCATGAGGACTTGAGGTTGGGGGATATCCAGGACAGACGGTAATTTGCCGTTTACTAACTGCTGATGGTTTCCCAAATCTTTTGTCTTCTTGATGACTATGCCACAATTCTAATGGGGGTGGGGGGACACAAATACCAGAATAGACACACCAAATTCCTGCCTTCTTACTCAGGGAAGAGAGCCTAGCTTGGGGGGGTGGGCAGGATTGTAAACACAACAAGGAAATCCATCTGGTTGAAATGCCTATCATCTTTTGTGATCAAGGAAACCACACGAAGTATGCCATGGCTAACTGGTCTCCCACTTACATATTTCCAGCCCACAGAGTATCTGCAAATCCTAATGTCTCTTGATAAAGTGGCATGAGGTGAAAATTAAGAGAAAGGCACAGAAGATACGTTTAACGAAGCAAAAAAGGGATGCTGGGAATCCTAGAATTCAAATGGAGACTGAGCTCAAAGGACTCCACACACAATATCTAGATCTAGCAATTAGGAAGTAATGAGTGCTTCTGAACATGCACAAACGATGTCCACCACCGCCATGGGACTTCCCCGTCAACAGTATTGCCTAGTACTTTTCTTGGTCAAAGAAACAAACACCCGAAGTAGCAGGTTTCTGCCTTTTCAGCTTTCTTAAACCCGGGAAGTTTGGAAACGTCTCCCTTTCCCCTTCCGCAAGCCCCCACTTGCCTAAATATGCCCTCCCCTCCCCCAGTTTAAGGTCTCACCAGCAATCACCAACAGGTTCTCGCTAGGCTGCCTCCTCAAGCGGCGCCCGAGCAATCCCCCCTCTCCCCTCGCGAGCTCGGAAGCATCAAAACTATGTCATCGCCCCAGGAACGCTGCCTTTCGTCCAACCGCTCTCTCTTTCTCTCACTTGGGCTTTTGAAACCGGCTTGCTTTCGCTATCCCTCTCCCAATTCCTAGCCACGCAACCTTGTAACCGATCCCAGTTCTCGGCCTGAGAGCGAGGAACTCGGGAGGATGAGACACGGCCAGCCTTCTACCTGCCCTCCGCGCTCCCCGCTTCCATAAGCTCCGTGGCTGCCTGCAGGAGATGACAGGGAAGGAGGGGAGAAGGGCGCCCACCTCCTCCCTTTCCCGCGCCTGCCGCAGCACCAGCACTTGCAGCTGTGCGCCTGCCCGCCCGCCCCTCACCCGCGAAGGCTGCAAGGCGAAGCGGTCGGGAAAGCGCGTGGCCTTCCGCCAGAGGAGGGTTACCTGTCCTATATTGATGTAGCCGTACTTGCTAGCTATCCGGTTGGCTTCTTGGAGCCCGCCACTTATCCTCACAGCCCAGTGGTTGGTGTACAAGCGAGTCCTGCAGGCGGGCAATAAGAAACCCATCAACAGAAGCAGCAGACACAGAAAATCTCCTCCGCTTCGGACACCTCCGCAGCAACAGCTGCTCTTCCAGATCATCTTCTCGGCGCTTTTTCCCCCCCACCCTCAAAACACAAAAACAAGCAGCGGGGGGAAAAGAATCTCCGCCGGATTTTCCACAGAAACTTTCTCCCTCTTCTTTTCCTCCAGTACTTCTTCCAAGGCTCCCCGCTCTCCTCCGGGCACTTCTACCAGCAGCTGCAGCCACAAGACTTCCCAAAAGTTACCTCAAGAAGGAAGCCAGAAAGAGCCCGGAATAGCTCATTGAATCTCCTGAGGCGCTGAAGTGACCAGGGCTTGAAAGGCAAATCCTTCCTCCCAGCCTCCCAAATCGCGTCTAGGCGTCGAAAAGTTACGAATCAGTCTCCCCCCACCTCACACTTTCTTCAGCTCCAGTCTCTTTGCTTGCGCCATGGAGAATCTGGAAGGAGACGAGGGTATCCTTTCCTTCTTTCTCTGGGCTTCCCTCTCTCCTTCAAGCTTGATTTCCCCTCTCACTTTCTCCCCCCTCCCTCTTCGGTCTGCTTTCCTCACTTGTCCAGAGCAGAAACAGCAGCAGCAGAAGCAGCAGGCAGTGTGAGTCTTGGCAGTCCAGCGCTTGAGTTCAGTCAGCCTCGGTAACCTCCCTCTCCCCTCCTTTTTCTGTAAGCGGGGAACGCGGGTAGAAATGGCAGCGGCGGCGGCGGCGGCGGCGGCAACCACTCTGCACAGAAGAGATTCCAGCGGTCTCTCCGAGCGTGCTTGGTCCTAGCGCTTCCCGATTCCCATTCTTTGGGGAAGATGTCAGGAAATCGAATGGAGAGGAAGAGGGAGGGAAGTTAGCCAACCTCTTAATCCCGGGGGGAGGGCTGCCTTGCCCAGATCCACAAGGACCTGCAGAGCCAAGGACCTACAGAACTTTTCTGAAGACCATTTGCGTTGGGTTACAGGAGAAAACGGTTCCACCATCATCCTATCAGCTGTAGCTGCCTTTAGTGGGACTAACTACGGATCACACAGTAGTCACTTATAAATATTCTCAGTGGTGAACATATATGTGAGATAGATAGACAGACAGACAAACACTGCTGCATATAGAATATATCAGACTAGCTAGATCTTGGGCTATCAGAAGGTAGTATGAATCAAAGAAGGTATCAATGAATGTGATGCTTAGATCGGCACATCTTTTTTTTTTTTTTTAAATGTTTGAAATTATCTACTCGTGCAATCATCTGACATTCCAGTATTTTTATAATTGGCTTACACATATTTTTCTTTATTTAGGCAATACCTTAAAATACCATTGTAAACAGTATGGTGTTGTTCCTTTCCCCCAGTTCTAACCAGCATGACATTTATTTCTAAGCAACTATCAGTGTGTAAAAATAACCCTAGATCCAAATGATAATTTGAAATGAAATAATCATTCACATTTTAAGTAACATAGCAGAACTCTATTCATAGTGTTATAATTCTCTCCAAGGTATTAAAAATGGCAAAGGCAAGGCATTAAAAATGGCAAAAAAAAAAAAAAAGGTATCTTTGGATCACTTTGGATCGTTTAATGAACAATACAGATATTCTAACTATTGCTATTTAGCATCATCCATTCAAGTTAGAGCAAAGTGACTTGAGTTTCTAAGTCATGGATTTGGGCTAGCAGGATTTCCTCCTTAATGTTAGGGGCAGTGATTGGTTCCTCTCCTCCTTTTCCTTCTGAAAGGGGTATAATGTGTATAGTGGTAAACTTTATTCACACAGGAGACTCAACAGACTTTCTGCTCTGATCTTTCAACAGCCTAGGACTCTTTCTTTAGCGAAGGGCCAGATGAGCTTCTTCCATAATTTGCCTCATTAATACAGAAAAGCAGGGTGGGTGTCTTCTTCTCTTAGCCAGGACTTGGGTGGTGGTTTTAAACTGCATGTAGCCATCTTCTACTGTACCATACCCTCCCTCCCAAATAGCCAATAGGTCCTGGGCAGTAGCATGTGGCTGGAAAAAGGACAGGGACAAAACCACAACTAGGGCAGGGTTTTTAAAAACTTTCTGAAATTCTTTACTCTCCCCTCTCCACAGATTTCATCCACTGATATTTGAGTAGCAAAAATGAAAACAAAACAAACCCCTATCCTTTATCAATCCTTTCTTCCCCAAAGGTGGGGATGGGTTTTACTCCAGAAAAGGGACTTATATCATGATGAGGTTTCCAACATCTATTATTTACATTATGGTGTCCAGCAGTTTCATAGAATAATCATCTGCTGGTTTATCTGAGAATCTTTTTCTTCCAATACTGCAAAATTGCAGCCTCTTCTTTTAGAAAGCCCTGTAACTTTTCCTCAAATAATTGGGCTCCTAGAGGAAGACACATTTCCCAAACAAGTTACCAAAGTACATGCCCAACATGTCATAATGTTCATAATGTCACACAGTAGTAAATCCCCCACTTCTGTAGAATTTGTACCATAAACCCTTCACCAAAACCCTTGCTCCTAATTTTTCTGTTGTTGTTTAACTCTTCTTTAGTTCTTGCTCAACTGTGCGAGAGTACATGTCTTCAGGGAATTCTTTTACTGTAAAAATGTATTTCACATCTATTCTATGCCCCCACACCAATTTTTAAGAGCAACAACATTCACTTTACTACCTATAATTGTTCAGAACTAAATGGGGGGAGGGGGGAGTCAAATTTCTGCAGAGTGATCTTCCTGGCTACAGCAGCCACTAAAAAAGCGGGTGATCTCAGTGGTGCCTTTATGGATTTATGTTGCTCTGTGGTAACACAAAAGCCAGTCTTGAGTTCAAGTGCTGATTTTCTACAATGAATCTTCAAGCAGGGTCTTTTTCAGCATGTATTTCCATCAAGCCTGCTCAACACCTTCCACCATCAAGGAGGTTCCAAGAGTTGATTCCTTCTCTTCAGGAACATCCAATAAGAAAAGATATCCCACCTCCAGATTTGAACTTTAATAGCATGAACAGTAGCACACAAGTAGATTATAACTTCAAACAACACAAAGATATTGAATTCAATTGGGATGAATCCTCCAGTGTTTTGCTGAGGGCAAATTCTTACACAATAGACTGAACAGTCTCCCTAAAGGTGCAGTACATTTCTGAAGCCCTGTAAATACTTAGCAAACCAACTCTCCCTTGCAAATACTCTCACTGTAATTTGTCTTGTATAGTCTCACATGGCAGTTCTCTCACCGTGTTCCAGGCTTCTTCCTGAACTTAACCCGCAATCTAGCTCTCTTAGCCCTCCAAACCACAACAACCAAATCTACTGGGCAATTCCATCACAGATGGAACTTCCATCTCCTTGTGCTCCACATTTGCCAAGCTGCTAACTGATATTCCAGAATTCTTTGCACAAAGCCTCTTGCTTTGTCTCTCTTATCTCTTGCTCATGAGTAGCCTTTGCAAGCAGGGAGGAAAGCCCTGTTAGTTCCAAGCACTCTTACTTTTTCCTTTCCCTCTTCTGCCTCACCCCAACCAAAGCTTGCTTATACATATACATATACA